ATATGTCTATATTTATGTAGGTATTTTTTTCATTGTTTGAATACTCTAAAGATGTAATGCATTTATGCCCAATGTAGGTTGCATTTGTTTAGTAGCACAATTGTCATCTGAATTGTGTTATAGTGCAATTGCCACAAGAAAAGAATGATGTGTTTCTTCAATCATCCTCTCACGTTTTTTGCTATATATGTAGGTGGTTATTCATTTTCAAGATATAAAGATTATGGTATGAGGATCAACTGTTCGAAGAAGGTGTATATTGAAGAATCAAAACATCCCAAAAAACTCTATAGATCGTGCAATGTCCATCATGATAGCAAGAATTGTCCCTTGAACAAACATGTTTTCATAAGATCAATTTAGTTCTTTAGTTATGTTATTTTGTTACCCTCTTTTATGTACTGGTATGCAGTATATTGTAAATAAATTTGGGAAAGGAGTCGAATTTTACCTTTTGTTCATTGTATTTAGCTTTTGTACTGGGTACATGTCTGATTCATTGACAATCTACAATCACTCATTTTTCATTCAATATGCACTTTACATCACACTCAAATGCATATTTCAATATATTTATATGCATAATATTTTCATACGTTCATCAATCTAACTAATGTGTTAAACACTTTGTAGTTTAATATGCACCTTATATATCAGAATGGTGCATCGTTATATGGTATGTAATGCATAGTTCAGTATACCTTCTCAAAATGATAAAGTTGCTGAACTAACGTATATATGTGAACTCATTTAACTCTTAAATTTGGGAAGTGAGACGAATTTTACCTTTTGTTCATTATATTTTAGCTTTTTGTACTGTATACGGTCTGATTCATTGTAAGACATTCTATTGTCACCATTTCTCATTTAATCTGCACTTTATAACACACTCAAATGAATTTTTCAATATATTTAGAAATAATTACATATTTATGATTAAAATGAAGACTATTTTCAAAAAAGTGACTAGTGACTTTTATATGACGTTTTGTTCTTTGTTTCACCCCAGTGTAGTATTGAACGCTATGATTGTAATGTTTCAGCTTTTAGTTGTTATGTTTCTTGTTAAGATCTGATTATCAATAAAATGGTTATTTGATTTTCAAAAAAAAAAAGTGACTAGTGACTAAAGTAGTAATGAAATTATAGTTACACATGTTCAATTTTATACTTTAGTTACTATGACACAACATTGTAGTAACTAATAGTGATCATATTTTTGTAAACAAGTTTTATTTTAGTAGTATTTTTGTAAAAAACCATATATTTATATGCATAATATTTTCATACGTTAATTAATCTAACTAATGTGCTCAACATTTTTTAGTACAATATGCATCTTAGATATCATAACGGTGCATCGGCATATGCTATGTGATGCATAGTTCAGTATCCCTTCTCAAAATGTTAAAGTTGCTGAATAACTTATATATGTGAACTCATTAACTCTTAAATTTGAGAAATGAGTTGAATTTTACCTTTTGTTCATTGTATTTTAGCGCTTTGTACTGTATACGGGCTGATTCATTGTAAGACATTCTATTGTCGCCATTTTTCATTCAATTTGCACTTTATAACACGTTCAAATGCATTTTTCAATATATTTATATGCATAATATTTCCATATGTTTATCAATCTAACTAATGCGCTCAACACTTCTTAGTACAATATGCACCTTACATATCATTATTGTGCATCGTCATATGCTATGGGATGCATAGTTCATTATCCCTTCTCAAAATGTTAAAGTTGTTGAACTAACGAATGTATGTGCATATATCCGGCCATCCTCATGCATTATATTCATTATAAAGATGCATTTGAGTTACATTGTAAGTGCATCTTCAAATACAACATCATCCAAATATTGAACTTACATAAACAAATCTCCAGAACACACAATCATTGGCCTTTAGTATTATACTTTGATATAAATCCTTTCAAAAATCTCAATATCACTCTCTATTGCACTATATCTTAATAATTTAGCACATATTAGTTGCTACACTACTTCAATCTCATGCACCTCAATTCACTATCTTTTATGCAACATAGTTCAAACAATTTGCACTCCGGCCTCATTAGTGTGCATAGCATCAATCTTCACAAATTCACAATATCATACCACCACACATATTCACTCCAATATCCATGCATTATTAACCTGGTAAAGAACACTATAATTAACAAATTCCTTAATCAAATTCTAATTGATATTACACGAGTCATTAACCTTTAAGAAAACCAAATCTAATTGAATCTCTTTTCACCAACTAATGCACCAAATAAGTACCTACTCTGCATATTAATCTACATTACAAAGATGTGTCCATTTCATTTATCAAGCTAAAGACAATCCAATCAAAATTACATAGACAATTAAATTCTTTATTACAAACTATTGCACTGATCGAACTATTCTAATACTGCATATCAGTTAACACCACTTTGAAATATGTCATCATTTGCTAATTTTAGACAAAAAAACGCGGATCACTG